TTTTCAAGTGTAGAAATTGATCAAAATAGAACTGTCAATACCCTGGACATTAAAAACACTTTAATAGGCCAAAATTGGTATTTTAGTCAAGTATTTATAAGGTAATTATATCATCGTATAATTGTTCTTCTTCTCTATAGCTAGGGTAGGGGCCTTTATATTTATAATATAAACTGTTAATTTTGGGTCAAAAGTATTTTTTCCATATTTTCAAATCACAAATTATTATTTTTATATTAATTGTTGTTTCAGTTAGTTCAAGTTCAGATAAATCTTAAATATTTTAATAATTAATTATTACCTATTTTACCAATTTAAAATAAATTTTGTTTTATTTTGTATTAGATGTTGTCGAAATGACTGTCCCAGTTTTGAGTCAGCCAAATTATTGTCAAATTTGCCAATGCAAGATGCCATGTCTATTATGCGTTGTGATGATTTCAATCTTGATATACTTCAATATTGTTTCACTGTATCAACTCAAATCACTATAAAAGTACAATTTTTTAATGATTTGGTATTTAAAAAATATATATATCACTAACATATTGTTATTTTTAGTCATGGAAATCATTAACTAAAGATACAACTAACTTGGAATTATGTCCATTGTTTGTAGCTGCCCGATTTGTCTTAGTGGAGCACATTCAACAAGCATGCAGTTCCTTGCCTAGATTTCACCAAGTAAAAAGATAAATAAGAAATAATTATAAAATAAGTTACTTATTGTTTTTGATCACATCTGTTTAGATATTTTTACCCCTGGTCAAAGAATTAAATGAAAAACAAAATATGTACAGGACGCGTATGAATCAACTATTTGAAGATAGTAAATTTATTAAAACTATATGGTTTTTAATTCCAGCAATTTCAAAGTTTTTTGAATGTGTTAAATTTTTGTCAAAACTCAATTCAAAAGAACATCTTATATTAATGGACTCTAACAAAACGCTTTTGAAATATACAGTTTTACTTTTTGAAGTGAGTAGATTGTTAAAAAAAAACATTAAATTTACTATGTTACGTAATTTCATCAATGCATACTTGTATTATTTTAGGTACTAAAATGGAAACTGGTCAATCGAACAGCTGCTACTAGTAGAATACAATTGCTTCTCAAGTGTGCATACAACATTTTTAAAGGCTGTGGGTTGGAAAATGCGTTGTGCTCCACAGAACTGGGATCAATTGCTTCATCATTAGTGTCAGTGGTAGAATTCATTACAGAGGATGTACTTTTGATCATGACTGATGACTGTATGTATAACAATAAAGATAGTAGTATGTTCTAATATCTTAGCTAAAAGTACTAAAATCAATTGCCATTTATCTAGACTATACAGAGACTACAGATTTAGTACCCATATGCCGGCAAATTTCATCTTTGCTTTCTTGGGTGGAAGATTCTCGACCATTATCGTCAAATTTTCATCTGGATCAACTGACATGGTAATAATACAATATTTTAAAAGTATAATTTATTTAAGGTGTCTATGTGTGTTTTATTTTTAATCTTTATTTTAGCATTATCATACAAATAATAAGTCGCCATCCAATGGTAAATGGATTTGTGCGTGTACCTCCCATTACATGGAAAATGTTGCAAACACCGGCCAATATTGTTGATTTTAACATACCAGCAATGCCTATTGATGTATTGCAAGAAATTGATGTACTCAAACAATTTGTGTCTAGACTCAGTGTAGTTGGCTGGAACAGTAAACAACAATTTGAAGAGACCTGGATGACATTGTTGAGCGTTCTAGTTCCATCCAGTGAAACCGATATACCAAAAGAAGAACATATCTCTCGCATACAAGTTAGTTGGATTTATGTACTCATGTCCAAACAAATTTTAGATGATATTTTAAGTGTTTGTCAATTATTCTTATTTCTCTTATTATTATATTGTTATAAAAGGCTAGTAGTGCAGCTGTAAATGGAATTACACAATTGTTTAGTCAGACGTTATTTGAATGTTATCCCGGTGATACCAGCAACAATAAATTCTTACACGTATCAAGAGACATTCCACTCAACTTGACTTGTCATAAGTACTTACTTATTATAATATAAAAATTTTAAGCTTGTTTAACATTTTTTAACCACTAACTATTAGGTGGTTTGTGAAATTAGAAGAAGTCAATGATCTTATATACTCAACATTTCGCACATTTAAAAGAACAGCTGGTAAAGAGGCATTATTAGATCGCTATGAGTGTAGAGCTAATATTGAGAGAATTCATGACCAGCATCGGTTTGTTATTTTTGTATTTATTAATATCTACTAATTAACTACTATTTATAATTTGTCAATTCAATATTGTACCAACAGATATAGTTATCATCAGTTGTCAGTCAAATTTTTACAAATGGCAATAACAGATCAGTGGAAAAGTTCAAATTATATTGCACCAAGAAAATCAAGTAATATTTGTTTGAAATTTTTCAAATTGATTATCAGTTAATAAATTTGTTTTTCAAATGTGAATAGGGTTAGAAAAGAAGTTATACGCAAGGATCAATTTATTAAATGCAAGTGGCTTGGATCTGAACTCTTGTATATTGCTGTTAAAGGAAGTGTTTAACCAGTGGATGGAACCAAAAGTTAGTATTAACTACTGCACTTTAAAAATTCCAAATACTATACATTAATTGTACATTCTAGACACGAGGTTCTTTATCACAAATTAACGAAATGATAAAATGTCTCCTCGTAATGTCAGATTTGTTCACCGAAAGAGAACATTATATATGGATGCTTAATGTATGTCTGGATTTATCGCAATCACATCACCATGAAGATTTATTGTTACATCAATACGTCATAATCGCCGCAGCCAAAGCAATGGCTATTTCTATTACTGAGGTAATTTTTACAAGGCCGGTATAGAACAGATATTACGGGTATTAATGAAATTTATGTATTATTGGTTAATAGGATATCAGTATTCGAGAGAAAGTGTTGAAATTAATTGATAATGGTCTCAAAAGTAATTGCCGTCTGACCCAATTGGCCGCTCTACACGGCTTACTTTATTTGTTAGAAGGATGTTTTATCATGAATAATGTGTTGCCAAATAGTTCAGAAATTGTGCAGATGGCTGTGGATTTTGTACAAAAACATCTATGCACTGAATATTCAATGTTGTAAGTTTATCTTCCACATTGGGTTGTAAAAATATGATACATAATGTTTTCTTCTGTCAAGATATGAATGCGAATGGCAGTTGTGTGTGATATCGATAGCATTCTACATAGTAGAACATGGGTCGGATAACATTGAAGACGCATTGCTCATGTCACTGGAAGGCCTCACTAAATTAGTATCATCATCAAGACATTTTAAACTTTACCAAGCTCTTATACAGGTATGTGTACATTTCCGCATTCAACGCTATTACACATCATGCATATATTATATGATATAAAAGAAAATTTTTAGGGTTTTCAAAGGATCATATTTGTAAAACATTCAAACGAAAACATTGTGGAGCAAATTACAACATTAGCTTTGGACAGGTTATCCAATGCTCCTCCAGGATTTTCCTTGCCAGCATTGCAGTTGCTTTTATCATGCATTTATGCAGGTTTGAGACCATACCAAATGATTTCTTATTGTTTAAGTCACATATGTATCTGTAGTTTAAGCCCATAGGTTGAGGGGGAAGTATCCATATAACTTTTGAGCAATTTATTTTATTTTTACAGTGAAAGATTTTAATGATCAAAATGTTTTTTTTACTATTTTGGATTACGCTATAAACCACATTGGCTATATTTTAATTCAAACCAAACAATTTAAAAATTGAAAAATTAAATTACTTCAAAATGATTTATTATGGTCTTGGTTTATAGATTTCATATAGTAAATTAGATTATAGAGATGCTTAACTGTTGCATTGGGCTTAGGAATTATTTTTCGTCTATGTGTTTATATGTTAGTGTTTTATTTCTATTTTTTTTAGAACATTATAATGAAAATGTCGAAGGTGATATTGATCCCGATATGATTGTTGTTGAAATGGAAAAGATAAGCGTCATGTTTGAAAGGCAAGTTTCTGCATTTCAATTTGTATGTTTAGATTTGATATTAATCCATAAATTATATGCATTACTTAGAATAAAGAAAGGATGTTTACTGGAAGTAGAAGTGACAACAGTTATAATGGCTAAAGTGTTAACAGATATATTTCCGGCATCGTACGTACTCATGAGAGTTGTCAGCGAATTTCTTTCTCCAAATCAACCTCATCCGACATCTATGTGCACAGTTGTTAATGAAGTATGTATTTTATTTTTGTTATATTGTCAACTGTAGAACACATATTTTATGGCTTATTTTTATTTTAAAGATATTTGAGCAATTGATTAAGGAATCACAATTGGATCTCTTACAAGATTGGGTTATTACAACACTCAGCAATTTTACCCAAGGTCTTCAAATACCAATGGCAATTTATTGTCTAATCAGTTTTTTTATAAGTTCATCAAAAAATAAATGGCTAAGAGCAATGTATTTTTTTTTCACTATATAATCACTGAATCATATGATTTATTTATATTTGTGATTATTTTTAGATTTCCTCATGTGAGGTCAAGGCTTGGTCGTTATGAATATGAAGATAGAAAATTGTTATGCATTGCTGCAATGGACTTTTATCATAGCGTAAGGATATTGAGAATAATAAATTTAAATATAATTCATTAAAAATAAACAACATTTGTGTAAGAACATTTTTTATTTTAGCTTTCTAATGAAAACCAAAAGCAATTATACAAAGAATCATTCCAATCTTCAGTCAAGTCGAAAAATCCTTTTCAAGATATTATATTATGTTTGGAATAAAGTTTTGGATTCCAAAATATGTTAAATGTAAGACCAATCATGATCTATTACCATTTACCACGTAACATTATTAACTTATTAAAGAATTATTGTTATTTTATTACTATCTAAAATAAAACTAAAAACCAATGAGTAAATAAAATGTGAACATTTATTTGTGTTCTTCAAATATTTTATTGAAAAATAATGAAGGACATCTTATTCCCATATCTGTGATTTGCTGTGAAATATTCTTTCCTAGTGGTTCTCTAAAATAACATTATTAAATATAAATATATGACAATGAATATACAAATCTGTACCACAGAAGTAAACTAACGCAAGTCCATTTTTTGAAATTTTGAGTTAGTTATATAATCAGAATATGCTTTTTGTGATATTATTAAAGGTATCAAAACGTAAGTCCTATATAAAATAAATGCATAGATAGCAAGAAGTATACTAACGTAAGTCCTAAACTATGATAGTATAGAAACGTATGTCCAGCGTTTACATAAGTAAATGATATATACAGATAATACATAATAATATTTTTGAAGTATACAATGGTAAGTCCATTGCAACAAATATTTTGTTTTGTCTCCTGTAAAATTTGCTTTTTGTGACTTGCGCTAGTTTACTTCTGTGATACAGAAATATTGTTAACATTTTTATGTTAAACATTATTTTTAATTGTTAAATGTATATACATATTATTTTAAACTGTATAAAACTTACTTCGACTGGATATCAATTTTATCTAAATCAAGGTGACTGAATATATCTATATGTTCATTCAATTTTTCTATGCCATTCCATGCTATCATTGTTCCATTGTCTGTACAAAGTTTGGGTGGTGGAACTATTAGTTTGAAATTTTCCTCTTCACACACAAGATTCAAATGTTTTCGAATAAACATATTGCTAGCAACACCACCAGAAACTACCTGTTAATAAATTAATTAATAAATTAATAAATAAATGAGTACTATAGTTTAGTTACTATTTTTATTTATTATTTTAAACTTACCAGTGTTCGATTTGTGTCTGGTAATAGTTGTGTTCGGTTAATAAATTCAATAGCCCTCAGTACTCGAGTGCATATGTGTTTCGTAATAGCATATTGAATGCTGGCACATAAATCGAAAACTTCTGGGATAATTTCATCTCCTTTCAATTCTAACAAAAATAAAAATGTTAAGTATAATAGGTATGTAATACATAAATAAAAAATATTTTACCGTGCTTTTGTTCGGATCTTAGAATTTGAGATCGTACAGCATTCTTTAAGCCGGAGTAACTGAAATTGCAGTCTTGGTAACTTGTCATAAATGTACCCAAATCAATAGCCCTAGGATTACCTTTCAATGCTGCTTTTTCAATTGCTTGGCCTCCACAACAATTTCTAAACTCCTTCATATTCTTCAACTGAAGTCGCCTGGCTGCCTGAAGAAATAAAATATAATTGAATACAACTGCAATATCATATTTGAAGAAACCAAAGAAATATTGTGCTAAATTACCTTGTCCAATGCTTCGCCAGGAGCGTCATCAATAGATTGTCCTAGCAGCAGAAATTCATTTACTTTTTTTACGATAGCCAACAAACAGTGTCCACCAGATAAAAGTAACACTAAAAATGGTAACTGTAAATTCTAATAAAATTTAATTTAATTAGTCATTGATACAGAGTAACCATGAATAACGAATGTACTTCTTACATGATCAACTAATCTTGCAGTCAAGGCGTGTGCTTCCATGTGATGAATCGGTATCAGAGGCTTCAGTGATTTTTTACTCAATTCTTTTGCATAGTTCATACCAACTAACAGTGACAAAGGCAAACCGGGTTTAACAGTGACAGCAATAGCATCTAGGTCGTTCAAACTAACTTGGGCCTGTTGCAACGCCTGTGTTACGACATTATCAATGTTTTGCTTGTGCAAATCCCTGGCCACTGGTGGAATTATTCCCCCAAAACTGAAGAAATGACAATTATATTTTGTTGTCATCTGGGCCAATTGGTTACGTACTCGAGGTGGATCTGCTGTTGAGATTGTAAGTATTCACCAAGGACATTTCTGTTACTGTCCACTATTGCACATCCAGTATCGTCGCAGCTAGTCTCAATGCCCAACACTTTGCTATACTTTCTGTGGGCTTGCCTTGTGAACTGACACCACAAACTTGACCGGAGAAGCCGATAAAGCCTCATTATAAAAAGACAATAGAGAATGAAATGATGAAATCCTGAAAATATTGAACACCAGTTTATATATTTTAACCTAATCCCCTAGCCCAAGTTAATTTTGTGCATAATATGTCTTATAAATCTATGTGTAAAATACGCGGATTGCAATACGAATATAATATACTCACACGTATAATGTGTCGATATTGTCTGTATTTTTGAGTCGTCCTAAAGCTTTTTGCTAATGGCCACAGCAGTGGCACGGTTTTTAAACTAAAAAAAATAATATTCAAAATTCTAAGCCTTAGGTTGTGGGGGGAAGCCGGAAACTGGAAAGTGTCAAAATGGTCCAAAGATAACAATAATCACACATGGTTGTGTTTATGAGTGTTATCATTTATCACTTATCAGTAATTTCACATTTGGGTACGTTGTAAGTTTGTAACACGTCTCGTCGTGTCTAGCTGACCACTTCGGCACTGCGAGTACCGAGTTGCGACTGCCCAGTGCCCCCGGGAGATCTAAGATCTAAGTTAGGTATTCAACGAATGAATTCCAAGCAATCGAAAGTCCATCAGTAATTCATTTTTATAAATTAAGGTCATCTGTCAGTGTACATAACCGTTTTAAAACCATGGAAAACACCAAAAAGGCTCTGTCATCAATACCGCTACTCAAGACAAAAGCCGGTCCTCGGGATGTTGATTTGTGGCCACAAAGACTTAAAGAAGAATACCAATCCCTAATCCAAGTAAGGGCAGTTAAAACTCTTACCACTGAGCCTTCCACTTATGACATCTCATCATTTGTTAATTATTTTTAATATTCTAGTATGTTCAGAACAATAAAGCAGCCGATAATGATTGGTTTCGTCTAGAGTCGAATAAGGAGGGAACTAAATGGTTTGGAAAGTGCTGGGTGTTTCAGAATCAATTAAAATATGAGTTTGACATAGAATTTGATGTGAGTTATTTGTATAAATAATTATATATATATATTTTTTTTAAATTATTTTTACGATACATTGGTTTCAGATTCCCGTAACTTTCCCTACTACAGCACCTGAAATTGCATTACCTGAACTTGATGGTAAAACTGCCAAAATGTATCGAGGTGGCAAAATATGTTTATCTGACCATTTTAAACCATTGTGGGCTAGAAATGTACCAAAGTTTGGTATCTCCCACGCTTTAGCACTTGGTGTAAGGTTTTTTTGTTACTTTATACTTTATAGTTATTTTTTTATTTTACCTGTAGCTACCTTATCTACAAAAAACCTTTTTGAACAATTTTTTTTTTACTTTTGTGTTTTCTGAGCTATAAACTGGTAAAATAAAAATGTTGTTACTTAATTTAGTTTTAAAGTTGACTGTTTCAATTGAATTAAGAACAAATAAATAACAAATGTAGTAATAATTATTTTGTATATATTATTATGTATATTTATTTTGATTTATCTTTCTAAAATTTATTTATTTTATGTTCTGTTGTAGTTGGGCCCATGGTTGGCAGTTGAAATCCCAGACTTAATTCTGAGAGGAGTGGTTAAATACAAAGAAAAAGAAGAGGATAATTAATTACAATTTCTGAGTTACAGAAAAGTTATTATGGAATAATTTTTGAGAGCTATAAGTGATATATAATTTTTATATTTTATGATATTATTTTTAACATAACTGTTGGATACACATTAAAACATCATTCATATTATTTAAATATGTTAAAGATTATACTTAATTTATGTTGTCAAATGTCAAACATTTATAATATATTATGAAATATGTCTTAAAATATACAACATAATTATTTAAATAATATGATATTCTTAAACTTATATTTTAAATTTATTGATGCATTGTATAATTGTATTTTTAAATGTTTATTCTACTTGTGTATTAAATTATTTTTTTGGCATAAAATCGTTAGTTAAAAAAAATTTTGATACAAACAATTTTTTTTTCTTTCTACTATTGTTTCCATAGGCATGTACAGACTTTGGTCGCAGGGTATCGCAAACATGTACTCCCAAAAAATATAAATGCCCTTAAATAAATATTCATACTGTCATACTATTGCCTTAAAAATATTTATAACTAGCTGATCCCGTGCACTTCGTCGCCCGTTAAATGGATCAACTCAATACTACCTACTCAAACTTTGTTCAATTCATTAACGTGTATGGTGTTCAAAATTTATCTTATCTTTCCCGTTGCCCTGAATAAAAATTCTGAATCGCGGCAGTACATTATCAGGTAGGCAATCTACCTGCGGTAGATCGCGGACCCCGTGCTGTTTGTACGGAAGTGTATGATTTAACTCTAAAGTATCAAAGTTATACCAAGTTTATTTTGATGTAATACTGTGGATTAATATAATAAATTTGGTTGCTCGTAAAAAATCGCAACTCTTAAAAAAATTATGATTGTTGAACTCCTTTTGGGTGTAATTTTCTGCGGTAAGTGCAACTCTGCCACCCTGGTAAGCATTGTTCAATAATTCGATTTGATGCAAGCTTGTACCTGATCTGCCCGAATAACCAATGGCAACCAATAAATAAATGCTAATTTCTAATGTAGACTGTAACCAATGGCAACTATAAATAAATAAAAATAAAATTTCCAATTTCTATCGTGAATCTCAATGTCCCTGTTTCAGCACCTATTTAAAATGCGAATTTTGGCAAATCCTTTCTTAGCGCACGTCTATATTATAATAGCTATCTGTATGCCAAATTTCAGCCAGATCCGTCCAATGGTTTGAGCTGTGCGTTGATAGCAGTCAATCAGCTTACTGTTTTTTATATACAGATATGGTTGCCATGGTAATATGGACCCACACACACACACACACACACACACACTGACATACATTCATTTTTATATATATAGATTGATATGAAATCTTGGTAACCTTAGTAACCATGGCAACCTTGGTAACCATGGTAACATGGACACACAGACACACAGACATACATTCATTTTTATATATATAGATAATCATTTTTATTTTCACTGTTTCTTATTGTCTATAAAATAATAGTTTTTTCCATTTTTTTTTTTTATGTTAATAAATAAAAACATATTTTAAATATTTTTACAAAGGCATGTTTATTGAAAAGGATATAATTTTGAAATTCTTGTTACATAATTAATCTATGAACATAGGTCGTAGGTACCCAGAAATTATGTTATTCATTTTTTATTGTTAAAACACATATTTTCATTAGTATTATTAATAATTATTAATTAATAAACACTATAAAACAACATCTAATACTTGAGATTTTTTTAATAGTTCATCAATTACTACTTCAGCAGCCAAGGATTTATATGCTTATAAAAATTGCAAATGTTTATAAATAATTTAGTCAAAATATTATCATATTATACAGACAATTCTATATTAAAACATTTAGTTTTGTCAAAAACTAATTATGCACACAAATTCCCGATTTTCCTTAATTTTTGTTTCCGACCCTTTTCAAAACTACTCACTATTAATTTTCAATTTTGACCTCTCGAATGCACCACTACAAAGAAGTTGAAAATCGAAGCATTATTTCGACTAGGTACTTATCGTGTACACAGACCAGAAGAAATCTACACATCATTGTATGTAATACCATACATTATTTTGCTCACAATGCCGTGTTAACTTTCATTGGCGACCCAGGGAAATAATATTAATCAAACAAATTATTCAAAATTTGCCGCCTTTTAAAATGTCAAAACTATTGTCGCCCTAGAGAACGGCTCTGATTGCTCCCTTCAGAATCTAAAAAGAATAGTAATCAATGGAAAATTATTAAAAGGTTATTGGGTACCTAGTCGGTTTTATGAGGGAGGCTTGCTCATTCAGTTTCAGAAACTCAGCTAGGCCATCAAAGGGTACATAATATGATTATATTATGTGAGCTACAGAGTCCCATTATATTATTTGTTTAAATTTGTTGACTAAACTCAGGGCCGAATCTTGAACTCTGAGGGCTCTGGTGCAAAAGAAAATTTAGGGGCTCCCTTGAAAAACAATTCACAGTATTATACCATTATATTTTTACTACAAATCGAATTGCATTATAAATTTATAACCATATTTTAACATATAGGTATTAGGTAATATGATATTTAAGAGTAATCTTAAATAAATAATAATTTATTTAACATCATAATTACATAAATATCTAAGATATTCTATTATAAGAAATATAATTTATAAAGCAAAATTGTCAATCATTTCCTCAATATTTAGATTTTTAGTTCGTTCTTTTTATATATTTGAAATTGCTATACTAGATGAAATGAACGCACTGGTCCACATGCGTTTCTTAAGTAATTTTTTATTAGTTTTAGTTAGGAAAATGATTTTTCTGCTTCAGTGATTGCTGTCATTATATTATAAGAAAAATAATGCAAGCTCTTGAACCGTCACTTCGGTATATATCATTCGAAAATCATTTCGACGAGTCGAAGTACCTACCTAGTTTACGAAAAAACAATGTGGTGTTCATACAACAACAATAAAAAAAACTATAGTTATTATTATTATTATTTTAAATTCTGAGCAGAGCGATGAATGGATTGATTTTATAATAATATGTGTGGGTGTTTTCTTAAATTCATTTTTCTTCTTTTATCACATTTTGGGGCAGAAATAAATTGTTCTAAAACATGGTATGGAGGAAAACATTACCGACAAATAATGACGAGTGATGACAATATAGAATAATGTTATTGTGGCCATGTTTGAGAATTTATTTTATACCTAGCAAATGCATTACACTTTCCACTAGGTACTCGATAAAGGTCGAACCACTTACTGTGCGGTTATGCCTATAATTATATTTTTGTACAACTGTCAAAACACTCATACCGCCGAAAAGTGATTTCCAAGTACAGTAATAGATACCTGTTACAAGATTTGTTCAGATTAGAATATTACAACTCAAGTCAATATTTTATTATATTGTAAAAATTGACTTACACACTCGACAATACGAAAAAAGCAACAATAGTTTTTTGTGTTCACAAATTTTTTTTTAATTATCGAACAAAAACAATATAACATTTTTTAATTTTGAATAATATAATTTCAAAAATGGAAACAATTTTGGAAACGGTTGCCGTTATATTATACAATTTTGTATGTTCAAAAAAAAGTTAGAACAAAAAAGAAAAAGCCGAAATTTGTAAAGTGAATATTATTCGAGATAAGTACAGAAAATTTAAATACAAAAAAAAAAAAGGCATCGGACAAGACGACGCGATGTGGGGGGGGGTACGTGATGGCGAGTTGGTTGTGCTGATGATGTATTGGTAACTGGTATATGGCCACTGGTCACCTCTACAACGTTCTCACGGGCTGTCTTGCGGGGCGGACGAAAGTCGCGGGCGAGTTTGCTCGAGACCGCTAAGACGACCATGGCAGCGGACGAAGCCCGGCCACGACGGCTGCGAGAGCGACGACGGTTGGCGACGAGAGGCTAGTGCGCGATGTCGTGCGCTGCTTGACGGTACTGCGGGTGCTGAAGACGACTGCTTGTGCCGGCAACGACGGTGACCTGCAAAGCTCGGAGCGAGCTGGCGACGCGGACTACAATCTCGGTGTAGCTGCGGAATCGGCGGCGTTGCGACTCGGATCGGACCACTGGGCGAAAAGGGAAGAGAATCTGTGGACAGCGTCGCGACGCGCCGCTGTCCTGATAGTCTCCGTGATTTTCGCCCTGGCGTCGCCGTCTGCCGCAGCCGATGGCCACGGAGCCGCGCACCGCCGAACCCGACGAAACGTTTCGTTTCCTCGAGCCCGGCGCTGCTGACGTCCGTGGCGTTCCTAGCTACCCTGTAATCATAGTCATCCGTCACTCACCCGCCGTGAGCTCTGAGGTCTCCGTCGTCGCCGTCACGCGAGTCGCGCAGCACTGCGTTCGTCACTGAGCAGGTACCGTCGGGGACGGCGTCGTTGTCCGCGCCGGTACCGCTAACCTCCGTCGTCGTGTCGTCGTCGCTCCCGGACCGAAGCAGCCGGGCGTCCGCCGCGCCGCCAGAGGGTCTCGCGTGTCACAGCGACCTCGAGCTCGCAACGTCCGCGATCCCGTCGCGCTACCGCAGGATGGCCAGAGAACGCGTATCGGCGACTTACCGCCGATCACCACCTGAATGTGCACTGCCGCGTACCTATTACCTCGAAACCCCACACGTCGCCTCGCCTTGTCCGCTGCCCTCAGCCAGGGGGGAAACTTTTGGACGGTTTCACTTCGGGGGACAACAACAGCGCAACACGCGTGCGGCTCTCGTTAGGCCTCTCCACGCAGAGGACACCAATCTCGCCGTTCCACTGCGCGGAGCTGCGCGTGTTTCTGTCTTGACCCCCGGGTCCAGCCAACCAATCAAGATCCCAATACTGTTTCTGACTTCCAGTCCTCTGGCCGGTGTGGCGCCCACCGCCTCGCCACCCAGCTCCTTTTCCGCGGCTTCCTGCACCGGAGGCGCGACCACCACGACGTCGTCTTCGATCGGTTCAACCGGTTCTGCCGTTTTGCCAGATTTGTCGACCGGTTGAAAGACGTTGAACGGCACGTAGT